CGGCTGGTGCGGGAAGGTTCCGTCTCGATACTGACGCATCTGACCTGGGAATCGGGGCAACCCTTTTTCAGGAGCAGGACGGTGAGGACCATGTGATTGCCTATGCCTCTCAGAAACTGAGCAAATCACAGCGTAATTACAGCACAACCCGCAAAGAGCTTTTGGCGTGTGTCGTGTTCGTCGAACATTTCAGGCATTATTTGATTGGGAAACGTTTCGAGCTACGCACAGTCCATGCCAGCTTGCGTTGGCTCCTGATATTTAAAAACCCTACTGGAATTTTGGCGAGATGGTTTGAAATACTTTCTGCATTTGATTTTGAGGTAGTGTTCAGACCTGGTGTTGAGAATGTCCCTGCCGATGTGATGAGTCGATGTCCCCAAATGACGTGTGACGCCGAAACCCAGACTGATGAACATGTGTGTGCGGTGTCTGCGAATTCCTGGTCTAACAGTTTCCTGCGACACGAGCAGGATCAGGATTCTGCAATTTCTGAGATTGCGAAACATTTATCTCTGGGCAAGAGACCAAGATCCTCTTCTGTAGACACTGAGTCGATTCCACTTTTGCGCCAATGGCACCGTCTGAGACTTATCGATGGTGTTGTATTCCGCTGCTATCGGACTTGCGCTGGTGGTGAAGACCAGCTACAGCTGGTTGTCCCAAAACAGTTGATACCCGGTATACTGACGTCCCTACATGCCGGCCCTGCTGGTGGCCATTTTGGCTCAGAGTCGCTGACGTCAACGGCGAGACGCGAGTTTTGGTGGTGCGGGATGGAGGCAGTCATCAAAGATTTTTGCAGCCAGTGTGAGAAGTGCAACACACGAGCTATTCCTATTCCGCGCCCAAGGGCTTCAATGGGTGAATTGCTTGCCGAAGAACCTTTTGAGACTGTGTCTATCGATTTTCTATGTGGCCTGCCCACGACGACCCATGGGAACAAGCATCTTCTGGTGATCTGTGATCATTTTACTCGCTGGTGTGAAGTGTTTCCGGTCCCCGGCATGACTGCCGCCACTGTTGCCGATGTGATTGTCAACCAATTTATCGCGCGTTTCGGATGCCCCCGCCGCATTCATTCAGACAATGCTGCAAATTTCTCTGGCACTCTTCTTGCTGAGGTTTGTCGATTGCTGGGCGTTGAGAAAACGCATTGCTCTGCTTTCCATCCTGAGGGGAATTCAAAGTGTGAGAGAATGATGCGAACGATACTGGACATGTTGGCAAAGTACTTGGACGAGAACCATGGCGACTGGGACGCTCACTTGCCTCTGCTCATGCTCGGATACAGAGCCAAGGTACATTCTTCGCTGGGACACTCTCCATACTACCTGATGTTTGGCAGAAATCCTAGGTTACCAGCTGCGGTGCAAATCCAGGCACCATCTGCCATCCCCAAGTGCGCCACGATTCCTGAGTATCTGTCCAGACTCACACAGCGGATCAAACTGTCCCACAAGTTTGCGCTGCAGGCCTCAAACAAGCGTCATGCGCGCAACAAAAGATTGTTCGACAAGAAGCTGACCATGTACCACTTGCAGGCTGGTGACGCGGTGTATCTGTTCAAGAGCGTAGCTCAGCGAGGCCAGTACTACAACTTTGTCAGGCCATGGAAGCCTGCGGTGGTTATGGCTAAGCTGTCTGACCTCAATTACAGGGTGAGGGTGTTGGGAGGGAGAAAGTCTGTCGTTGTTCGCCACAATAGACTGAAACCTCGTTCCGATGATCCCTCAGTGCCTGTCGCAGGCCCAGACATGACTATTCCAGGCTCGGCGTTATCTGCGGACCAGGAGGTTGGAGATCAGCCTTCACCCCGATCACCTCCGCCACCAGATGGCGCGTCACCGAAGAGCGACTCGTACTTGTCGCCATTTGCTCGTGGCACATTTCCAGCCGGCGAGAATTCGGTAACCGCGGCTGTTGCTGTGGGTGGCCGGGCGCCTCTCTCGACAGGGATGCATGTTCTGTCAGAGGTGCAGGATATATCCGCTGCGGTTCCGGAGAGACATGTGGATGAGCACGCCCCTGATGTGCTTGATGTTCCCGTTTCTACTCCGGATGGTGGAGTTGGACCACTGACCGCACCTGTGCTGGTGCCTGATGGGCTCGTGACCGCTCCTGTGTTGGTCCGTGATTCGTCTCCGAGGGCCTCTGCTCCTGTGCCAGCCCCCCGGCGCTCTGACAGAGCTTCTAGGCCACCGGATCGCTATTGTCCGAGTTAAGTCGTTGGTTAAAAGTTTCTTAAGTTTGGCTAAATGTGGCAGAAATGCAATTGGATTATATGGGATAAAATGTACTGCCTGGGTGCTTTTCTGGTGTCGTGTTTGGCAATGCCTTCGCAGGCCTACCGGTGCAGCGCTACCGGTTGGTGTGTCCTGCTAACGGGACAGTGCACATGGGCATGACATGTCATTGGAGTGTTGCTCACTGACTTCACGAACCCTGTTTCCCAGTCCCCCAGTCATGCCTCAAGCCGAAGCTGTCCTTTATTATTACAGTTACACGGAACTTACACCGCACTGTGGGTTGCGTGTGCTGCGTATGTCGTGTGTTTCGCCTATCGTTCGCAGATGGGTCGTCGCTGCGGCCGTGCTGCCCGCGGTTGTGCTGTCCGCGGCTGAGCTCCGCGGCCGAGCTCTGTGGCCGTGATGTCCGCGGCTGGGCTCCGTGGCCGAGCCCCGTGGCTGTGCTCCGCGGCCGAGCTCTTCGGCCGAGATGTATGCGGACGGGCTCTGCGGCCGAGCTCTGCGTCGGTGTTCTGCGGCCGAGCTCCGCGTCGGCATTCTGCGGCCGTGCTGTGATCGTGCGCTGCGACGGAAGATTGCGAAGTGATGTCTTTTTTTTGGTTAACAGGGTCGGGTGTAGTTGGTGCGCCGTTTGCATTTCTAGTTTGATTTAGTGCTCGCTTCTCGTTTGTTGAGTCACTTAGCTTGCGATTATCTTGAGGTCTAATTTAGCGTCAGTCAACCCATGCTATTTTGGTATTCATTTTGTATTGCTAATTTTAGTCTCTGTTCTGTCTGTTTCCGCTCTGTTTAGTTCTAGGTCTAGTCTGTCCATTTCCGAGGTTTAGTTGTTTCACTGTCAGCGTCCACGAGGAGTTGAAGCGCGGTGTTGGCGATGGGCGGTCATCAAATATAGTGCACCTAAAACCTCGGTGTCTTCGACGTGGCGGCCGTCTACAATTGAATGCACCAAGTATCAACAACGCAAAAATATGAAGGCCTGTTGACGTCGGCACCCTGTCTAGTTCTCTTGACAAAAAAGTTCTAGGTGATCACCATACTGTTTCCATAACATTCCTTGCAGCTTTCTCAGACTTACCGGTCTGCTTCAAGCAATGCAAAAGTAAGTGGCAAACCTGTCACCTACACAACTGCACTGTTTATTTGAAATTTAATTTTCAGCGCGTTTCAGTGCGTAACTGCACTGTTCATTTAAAATTCAATTTTGAAGCGTTTAGGCCCGAATGGGCCGAAACGCTTCAAACGATAACAGATGGAAATGGCGTTGAGGGCGCAGGAGATACTGTCGACCCATTTGATGGCTATCTGTCTGTCTGGCGAGACCTACACAAGTGGTTTGCCCCTTAGTGGTCTTCAGCGAAGGAGCCCTATTTTCTCATCGTCTTTTATCTATTGTTGTTTTAGACTCTGTCTTCAGTTAGGTTTTTTAGCGTCTCTTGACAGGCTTACACTCAGCTTTTGTCCGTCCCTCGGTTGCTCTGCAAGGGGGCTCGGGTTGTCAACTGATTAAAAATATCAGGGCAGCTGCTGCCCCCTTTCTCTTGCGTCGCCCAAGATGGTGGTAAGCGCGATGGTCAACTGCTGTCCGTTGATGCAATTCGTGCTGACGTGATCCAAAGGCGAATTAGTCGATGGTCTTATCTATACTGGTCTTGAATACACTATAGCCATTGAGGGGTAGGGATTCGTGTGGCGCTTCTACGCCATCACGCATCTTTGGGCGAGTCAAATTACCCGGCGCGAATTAGCCTGCACGCGCAAGAGTTCGCGCGCGCCTAGTTGCTGCAGAAAATGGTCTGAACATGGTAATCTCAGCTCAAAACCAGACTACTTTGGAGCAGTGTGATGAAGTTCAATTTCAATTATCTCTTTGCAAGGTGTGAAGTGGTCGGAAATGGCGGTTAAGTCGAAAAGTCGAAAGTCATTGCAACGGGAGGATGCCAATGTGTAATATTATTTATATAGTCTACCCAACATGAGGCGTTTTGCCTGCGTCGTCCCATCTCTTAAGAACGCATTGCTTTCTTTCCATCAGCTCCGGGTCGGCACCAGCGCAGTGCCGACACCGACGTTTCAGGCTGGATCAACACTGCCGGCCCGGAAGTGCTAGGCCCCGGCCACCCGGCCACCCAAGCATTTGGCCGGCCGACGGCGCTGGTCCCGGGGCGCAAGGTTACACGCGAGTGTCACGCTGCGCGGCGGCCGGGCTGTCAGCTGAAGACGGTCACCAGGATAACTGCCGCCACTTGTCTGCTCGTCGCGGAACACAATCTCCCGGTGCGACGCAGGCCTCCCGAGTCCGGGACTGCCGTCACGGGCGCCGTCGGCACTATCTGATATCGTATCAGTTACGGCGGGACAGGGAGCACGCTGATCGAGATGCGCAGCGCCGGCGGATCGCAGCACAAGACACACGTCCGCCGCGCGCGCCTGGGCGAGATATCGCCAGGGGTGCCAGAGAGGCCGGGGTGACTCAGCAAACGTGGCGAAGAACTCCAGCATTGGCAGGTTTTCCACGAGGGCACGTATACAACTTTTTCGGCTCACGCCTACTTCACGTTTTTAAGGTAACGATATGCGCACCGTCGCGCACCCTTCCATGAGTGCAGGCGAATGTAGCGGTCAGATGACGTTTAAAGGCCTATTGCGCAACCGGACTCCGAACCTGCACCCCAGCCAACGGCGCTGACGAAGCTCCTGGTAACTACGCCCACCTCCTCACGCTCCACCCGCGCCTAAAAACTCGGCGGCACTCAACAACCGTGTAGCGTGCATTTCTGTACATTTCAGCCCATGAAAGCATTTGCCGACGGCGGAGGTCATACACTTCACCACACCGTGTAAGCATTGTGTGGCCCAGCAGCGGCCAGACAGCCATTTGGAAACAAAGGCGTCAACACCAGTGCAATAAATCCACATGGTATACACCGGCCAGCACATTACCCAATCTCGGAACAATGGACCGCCGACCCAGCGACCCAACGTTTTACGCTGTGTGGTCCGCCATGAAACTGCGTCAACAGACCCGGTCGTTTGGGTACAAACGGCGCCACCACCATAGCTACCGAGCGGAACAGCTCACCATGACAACGGCGCGTGCGTACCAGCGGTGGAATTTCCATACAGATCAGCCCACGCGACTTCACTGGCGGGCACCTCCTGACAGCGCATCGCGGCAAATTCCAGAGGCCGCGTCACACGATGCGCTTCCATCAGCGTCCGAGCTGTAACGGTGTTGTTCGCAACCGAACGACGCCGCCGAAGAACAGAGTTGGTGTGGGGGAGTCTGGGGCATTTGTCCACCGCACGGGCTGCTGATTGGCTGGGCTGTGAGCCGCGGTCACGCGTGGTTCAGACGCACTACCGTTTGTGAGCATTGTCTGAATGTGCTCAAAAAGCAGCCCAGAGAAGGCGCACATAGTTTGTACCCACAAGTGGCCAGTGGATGGTTGTCATAAAATTAACGTCCTCATAGACATCTACATATGCTTCGTATATAACGCTTTGTAGCACTCCAGCTGTCCAAGGAATGTATATGAGTACGGAAACACTATCTTTAATGCGGCGCGTATCTTAGTATTTATCGCACGCATGTCGCACGCATCGCACGCACTTTATCACATCCCGAAAACAAGTGCACTATGAAAACAACTATCACCGGATCTAAAAACTTGCTGCTACGTTTCACCGCCGTTTAAAATGCAACACCGCTTGTGATTCCGGTGACAAACCAGGAGTTGCCAGGTAGATACCGGCTGTACGCATAAGCTGTCCGACCGGCCATAAAACCACGAGCCGTCGGGCCCGCGAGGCGCGGAGCGCTGCCAGCGATGGACGCCGGCAGACCGGGCCGGCCGGGCCACTCTACCGACGCCACCCTACTGACGGAAGTGGTCCTGGATCTCCTCTAGCGTGCGCCCCTTGGTCTCGTACGTGAAGAAGAACACGCCGACGGCGCCCAGCAGGCAGATCGCCGTGAACATCCAGAACACGCCCGCCTCCGTCATGCCGTTCACCAGCGGCTTGAACGTCAGCGTCACCAGGAAGGCCAGCGTCCAGTTGAAGAAGGTCGCCACGCCACTCGCGATACCCTTGACCTCCGGTGCGAACAGCTCGCCTGTGGGCGGCGCACCAGGTCAAGGTCAGCGAACAGGTCTGCTGCACCCGCTCGCCTGTTCCAGCAGCCTCGCACTACCCCACATGCCGGGTCAAGCAGCGCACATTTCCGGAACAGCGCCTGCCAGAACTTTCAGAGTCGGACGCGTCAAGTGATGACCGGCATCGACGCCTGCAAACAGACTCGTAAGCGCGATGTTACGCTATCGATTCTTCTTGGTGAATGTAGATACGTACACAGTCTTTCATCCCGGCATCACGGTAGTTAACATGGATTATCGGACACACGGGGTACTAACTCACATACGGCAGTCAGACGCCTTTTGAGACGGGGATGGGGAAGTGATTTAAGACTAGTCGCTACCCCCATATGGATGTTACCATAACATAAGTAAACAGGGCCGTCGCCTATGCGATTCAGTACAAACGGCACTTAGCGATGCATTGAAATGCCCTTCTTTCAATAGTTGAATAGGTGGAGATGTACTGATGCTCAGTGTCCACGTACACATTCACAAATAACGTGGATTGAGAATTGGCTGGCTATAAGGCTGGCCTAGCATGATAATTTCAACGGCGCACTGCAATGAATTCGCATGATTTACAGCTTTAGTCATTGCAAGCAACAATGCAATATGTGCAACTATTTTGGGCGGATACCTTTCGCAGATACATGCATGCATAGTCCTTTAAACCTAATCTACATCTAAAACCTAATCATCATTTTATGCCGCCTGAAACATGCCGCTTGATCATAGCTGCAGAATGATCTTGTATTGGAAAGTTTTGCAGGGCTTTCAAGCAATGTTGCAACATTGCAGAAGCATGCCGTCTGATCAAACAGCTTGAACTTGATTGCCTTTAAAATATACCGGTGCAACTTGAAAAAATGGCAGGTTATGTTGAAACATTCACCGAGGTACGATCAGCGGCTGCAAATACATACTCGCGTCGGAGGCGTGACTGGCCACGCCGGGCCAGGCCGCTGAGGTCAGACAGCTCCCCACCAGCTGACGTCAAGACTCGCTCGGCGTGCAGCCTCGTCCCACACTGATCACACAGAGACACACCATCCCACTGCCCAGCGCCGTCGATCAGCGCGGAATCATGCGCCACCAGCGCGCATGATCGAGCCGAGATCGAGACGTCAGGTCACGGCCCAGGTCACGTGCCGGTCGTGGACGCAGAGGCGTGCACGCGCCGCGTCCCAGCACCGAACCCCTCTGTCGAGCCGGGGGCATGCTCCACCGGTCAGACGCTTGTCGGCCACGGCAGGCTCTTTTCGACGTTTTGTCCGCGACGACGGGAAACTGGGGATTCCGGGCCGGGGTAATGACAGACATGATGAATGGACGGGCTCAATGATGCAACCCGTTTAATACCCGCTTCTGGTACATTCCAGGATACAAGTGTCAGACCTGTCACGTGGGGGCAGACAAGCGTCGGGCCTGTCACGTAGGGGCAGACAAGCGTCGGACCCGTTACGTGGGGGCACACAAGCGTCAGACCTGTCATGTGGGGGCAGACAAGCGTCGGACCTGTCATGTGGGGGCAGACAAGCGTCAGACCTGTCACGTGGGGGCAGACAAGCGTCGGACCTGTCACGTGGGGGCAGAGAAGCGTCAGACCTGTCACGTGCGGTCAAGGACCCCCCGGTGCGTCTACATTCAGACTATGGAAGCCTCATGGTACAAATACGCCGAGAAATCCATGAAGTGTAAGGTAAAAACGAAGCGGCAGCATGTCAGAACCGCCAAGTCCATGCGTTTAGAAGACAAATTCGTTATCAAACGCCCGTCAGGATATGTGCGCATCCATGTGCGGTACTTTCTATCTCCTGGGACTGAAATAATCTTGATGGGGGCTTGACGTCCCACCGACTGACAGGGCTCTTTCGAGATGGGATGCTTTGATTAGGTGCTATGTGGGACGCGGCAGTGGTGTGGCCGGGACCAGAACCCAGGACAGCAATGTCCACAGACGAGCGCCCCGACCACTGCCCGACCACCGCAGTGGTGTGGCCGGGACCGGAACCCAGGACAGCAATGTCCACAGACGAGCGCCCTGACCACCGCCCGACCACCGCAGTGGTGTGGCCGGGACCGGAACCCAGGACAGCAATGTCCACAGACGAGCGCCCTGACCACCGCCCGACCACCGCAGTGGTGTGGCCGGGACCAGAACCCAGGACAGCAATGTCCACAGACGAGCGCCCTGACCACCGCCCGACCACCGCAGTGGTGTGGCCGGGACCGGAACCCAGGACAGCAATGTCCACAGACGAGCGCCCTGACCACCGCCCGACCACCGCAGTGGTGTGGCCGGGACCGGAACCCAGGACAGCAATGTCCACAGACGAGCGCCCTGACCACCGCCCGACCACCGCAGTGGTGTGGCCGGGACCGGAACCCAGGACAGCAATGTCCACAGACGAGCGCCCTGACCACCCGCCCGACCACCGCAGTGGTGTGGCCGGGACCGGAACCCAGGACAGCAATGTCCACAGACGAGCGCCCTGACCACCGCCCGACCACCGCAGTGGTGTGGCCGGGACCGGAACCCAGGACAGCAATGTCCACAGACGAGCGCCCTGACCACCGCCCGACCACCGCAGTGGTGTGGCCGGGACCGGAACCCAGGACAGCAATGTCCACAGACGAGCGCCCTGACCACCGCCAGATCACCGCTTTTGACCGGGCTTGGAGAGGCCTGGGCTACCCAATATTTACTCCTTAATGTTTAAACCAAATCACCTGAGTCGTCAAAACTGTAACTAGCAATAGCGGCTAACTTCTCAAAAATATAATTCCAGGTCACATACTAAGTTCTACCGATTTGTGCGGCTTGATGTGGTTAGTAATCAGGGAGACTTTAACCCCCTGGTAATTCGGCACTTTCGCGACGAGTGATCTCAGAGTGTCTCTAATGTTGTCCTTATTGAATATATCGACAGCGGCATGGTGCTTAGGCGTGCGAATGTGACCAAACCGCTACTTGTAACATGCTACTGACCATCTACCCCCCAATTTGCCATCCCAACAATGCATGGCTCACGTCATAAAAACACCTATACAGGACGTTCTACAATTCCAGCGAAGGCGGACGACACCAGCCACGAAACTAACACACAACTAACGTCAGCCCTTGAACGCTCCTGGCGCTGGCCCAGCGGTGACGTCAGAGGGCGGGCAGCGCGTGACCCCGGCTGGCGGGCGGCTGCCCGACGCGGTCCGGTCGACACTGACGCCGCGCGACCATCTGTCATTGGCGCCACCCGGTCATCGACGACGCCGCCGCATTAGAGGAGGGCCCGACCGGCGGCGATGGTACCGTCACGGACGGCCGACCCGCCGGATGTCCCGCGCGCCCCTGGCCACGCAACGGCGGCAGACGCGACCAACGCTAATGTCTACCCAGCATCAATCAGCTGCACGAACAGCGTCGACGACCGTCGCGGCGGCGGAGACCGAGCCGTCCCGGCGGGAGAGACAGGAGATTGTGCGATGTGGTCTACATATTGGGATAGCGTGCCGGCGGGAGCTAATAAGCCGCAGCCGCGAGGGGCATGATTCCCCAAGTAGATTATAAGCAAGGTAACGTGGATGCTGGATCCTGGTGTGCTGGAGGTAGTTAAACTGAACAGAAAAAAACATGATGCTGAAAAATCAGGAGCCTTGTTATCGGAATCTTGTAGAGGCAGAAGCCTTAATGATTACAAATATCAAACAGCTACTCTGCCATGAAAACGTAACCAGTTCAGTGCAGCTTATCATGTTGAAAAAAAAAATGTTTGAACCTTTTGATTGCATGGATCTCTGGGAACAGCCCCACGCTAAGCAAAGCTTGCTAACTGAGCCCTGACCCAATCATCAGATCGTGATATTCCGAGTCAACGGCAGAACTTTCAGACAAAGGCTCGACGCATTGCAATGCTCGGCACGGTCCGTCCCACCCTTTTGACGTCTCATGACCTTTAACGCGGCCGCTACCACCAGGCATACGCCATTCCTGTCAGCGGCAAGTAGCGAGCGCCTCGCGCGACTCGAGCCTACCCTGCCACGGATGGTTGCCATGGATGAACGAGCGTTCTAATCTAACGGGCGAGCGGGCGTTCTGAGCTGCCCGAACGTACACTTGCCCCCCTCACAAGCCTGTACCAGCCGTGCCAGGGCGGCATATATTTCCCTGAGGGCGACCGGCTGTTCAGGCTCGCTGGGAACGGACGCGATTATGGTCAACGCTGGTGATGCAGGGGCCGCTGTCGAGGTTACGTAATCTTCCATCGTAGGTCCTGTGTCACCCCACACTGGCTGAGTGTCTGGCGTCTGACATCGGTCTCGTGTCACCCGACACTGGTAGAGCCTCTGGCGTCTACCATTTTTTAACGTGCCACCTGACAACACATCAGCGTCTGGCGTTTGCCATCGGTCTCGTATCATCTGACATTGGACGAAGTTTGTGGCGCGAGGTCGCGTGCTATCGTGCCAACAGACACCGGAGAAGTCGCTGGCGTCTGTTGTGGGTCTCGCGTCGTCTATCACAGGACGAGTCTCCGCCACCACGTCACCCTGGCAATGGACGGGTCTCCGGCGTCATGTCACCCTGACAATGGACGGGTCTCCGGCGTCATGTCACCTGGGATTGGGCGGGTTTCCGGCGTCATGCCACCCTGGCAATGGACGGGTCTCCGGCGCCATGTCATCCTGGCAATGGACGGGTCTCCGGCGCCACGTCACCTGGGATTGGGCGGGTTTCCGGCGCCATGTCATCCTGGCAATGGACGGGTTTCCGGCGTCATGTCACCCTGGCAATGAACGGGTCTCCGGCGTCATGCCACCCTGGCAATGGACGGGTCTCCGGCGCCATGTCACCTAGGATTGGACGGGTTTCCGACGTCATGCCACCCTGGTAACACCGCTCTGCTGCGGGCTCGCGGTCTGAACAAACCTCATCCATCCCGCCGCAACAATAATTAATCATTTTCGACCGTTACGACACGGCATTCATAGCAGTTACTTCATAATGAAGAACGAAACGCATCCATCAAACAAAAGTTCGGAGCAAAAATTCGGCCGTCGACTTTCCGGCAGACAAGGCCGAGTCCGGGGGTGACGAGCATGCAATCCACAGATTACTTCCGACACTCTATCAGAGGCTCGAAGACACTGTGGCCAGCCCCCACACCCAGCCAGACGTAACAAAAGAACGGATAAAGTTCGTCTCAAACTCAGATGAAGAGTGCGAGCCACTCCGCACCGCGCACCACTCACCCATCATGAGCCAGGGGATGGGACCGAAGCCGACTGAGAAGGCGAAGATGTAGATCATCAGTGAAGCGAGCGGCAGCCAGCCCAGGTTGTCCGCATTGTCATGACTGCTGAGGTAGAAATAGATGCCCAGCGCCAGCAGGCAGACGCCCATGATGACATCGGAGAGGATGAGCAAGACCTTGCGCCCCAGCCGGTCGACGAGCACGACGCCGGCGAACGTCGACAGACACTGCACCAGACCGACGATAATGGTGGCCAGGTTCGGGTCGATCGAGCTGCCCGCGTCCTTGAAGATGTCTGTGGTGTAGAAGATGACAGCGTTGATGCCGCTCAGCTGCTGCAGCAGCATCAGCATCAGCGACATGATGAGCGGCCGCAGGTTCTCGCGCTGCTTCAGGTTCCGGAACGAGGCCTGCTTGGCGCGGATCTCCTCGTTCTGGCGGCGTAACTGCGCAAGCTCGGCGTTCACGTCGGCGCCGGTGCCCCGCAGCCAGAGTAGCGCGTCGTGCGCCTCCAGCTCGCGGTTCTTGTCCACCAGCCAGACGGGCGACTCGCGTATGAAGCAGACCAGCACCAGCCAGACGACCGGGAAGAAGGCCGACGCCATGGCCAGGTAGTTCCAGTCGGCGTACTTGCCGATCACGTACGAGAGCAGCACCCCGAGCGTCACCTGGAACTGGAACGAGGCGCCCATCGTGCCGCGGATGCGAGCCTCCGTCACCTCGCCCACGTACGTGGGCGCCACCAGCGAGGTGCAACCGGCCGCGAACCCGGTGAAGACACGGCCAGCGATGATGGTGCCGACCGAGGTGGCGTACGTGATGAGCAGCCAGCCGAGCAGCCCCGGTACGGTGATCAGCACCATGGTGCTGCGCCGGCCCAGCGCCTCCACCGCCCAGCCGGCTACCAGGCCGCCGAACAGAGCGCCCAGCGGCATCATGGAGCCGATCAGCGAGTCCTCCGAGTCGGTGGTGTGCAGCGTCGAGTTCTGCAGCTTCACCCCGGCCGTGCTCGAGTAGCCGAGCGTCATACCAGCCACCAGGCCGCCAAACGTGACTGGAACACGGGAGGAGAAAGCGCTGCGTCAGGCTGAGGCGACTCACAGCGACTGGTCTCTGTCTCCGTCTCCGTCTCTGCCTCTGTCTCTGTCCCTGTCTCTGTCTCTGTCTCTGTCTCTGTCCCTGTCTCTCACTCTCTCGCGCTCGGTACGTGCTAGTACGGAAATATCGGGTCACTTGGGCGTAAGGGATATCTATAATTTTCTGTGTTATCGCATCTCCGTCTCGGAGCTCCCGTCATAGTCAGTTCTCCTTTCCTCGTTCGCTGCTTCATCCTACAATCCCCACGCCTCGTCTCCCAGGGAGTACACAGACCGTCAGTCATGCGCCGGCCTTGCGGTCGCCATGGCTGGGAGCTCCGCCACGGAATCTGTACGACCCTGGCTGCGCTTCCTGTGCGAGGTAAATCTGTGTCGAAAGCCGTCTGCAATAGCTCACCTCCAATCACCCACTGCTCACACTATCCCATTACGCAGATTCATCTCTCCCTCTCTCTTATACCGTAGCTCTCAAGTGGTGGTGCCTGGCCCGAAAGAGCTCTAACCTAACCGAATCAAACGCCAATGCTCCTCATTCTATGCCTCACCCAGCATCCTCGAGCCGACTCGTCAGCAGCGTGCACTGGCCGTCGCGCCCCAGCTCAGCGCCGTGTCTGCACAGCGGGGCGCGAACCGACGCACACGCCGTGTGCGGCTGAGTTGCTGGCAGCGAAGATGACCTGCGATGACCGCTGTATCGCACGGAAGCTCGGACCGATGCAGCGTGCCGCCCGCTGCCTCAGGCGGGCCACTGGCGCTAACTTGCCGCTGACCGACGGGCACTAAAACGCATTGTCTATGTGTAATCTTGGTATTCAGTGGTGCTCCCGACCGGAAGTGCTGCTGTGACCTGCTTTATAGCAGGGCCGTAAAGCTCCGCTATAAAGGAAACCGCCCTGGGTGGTATCCCGCTGTTTTAGCGACAAAATGACCCAAGCGGTGGGTGCATCGTATAAACACTTCTGGAACTCGAATCAAGTTTGAGGGATGTGTATCACTGATCCACACGTCGCCTATTTCAAAAGAGACCAGCGAGCCGTCTAAGCGGACGAAACAAATGAGAGGAGGAGCACTGATCGTTAATGACGGGTACATTTCACTTCCAGTCAACATTTATCAAACGATACCGGCGCCTTCGTGGCGCCAACGTGACAATTTTTGCGGCGTTCTCAAACTTATAGAAGCCATATAATCCGCTGTGGGAGAAGCTTGACCCATCCCACCATGCCAAGTCGGCCTTCAGCGCCACCGTGTAGGTCTGCGAAGCACGTCCGTCTCATAACACCGCGCTGTTTGCAGCGGCCGGCACTCGAGAGCGAGGTCTCAGCCGCCCACAAGTGCTCCCAACCTTGGCCAATGCAGAAGCCCGCATAAACAAGCGTGCGCCTCCATGCAGTCGTGGAGCCTGCTTCCTGGACGAAACAACAAATGCCTGCTGATACGAGAGCGCGCGGAGGCCGGGTCGCCACCTGACAGCGCCGCATTTGTCCGGGTTGCCAGCGATAGAGCGCCGCGGTCACGACACCCACCCATCAGCCGGGCCGTCAGCCACCGCATTAGTGTCGGCGTCGGCGGGCTGAGTGCGTCAGCCGGGACCGGCGCTGAACAAACGCCGCCGCGGCCGCCTGCCGCGCGCGCGACGAAGACGGACGACTTGAACCCGGAGAACCTGCGCAGATTTCGCCGCGATAGCGCACCTTTCGGGTCGAGCCCGCCGGCCAAGGTCTCGGAGGTGTGGCGGCTGTACACGGCCGGTCGATAGCACCACCAGAGCTGTCCGAGGCAGATAGCTGAGACAGCCGGGGGCGGCGGAGGGGTGGGGACAGTGTCTGGCGGCGTCCCTACAGCTGGGCTTCAGATGACTGCTGCCGTTGCCCGCAGGGGCCCGTTTTGCCACAGAAATGTGATCCACGGAGGTCGTGGTGTATGAATACAATTTGGTAGATTGTAAGAGCAAGGTTTAATTTCACCAGCTGTCTCAGGTGAATATTCATGCCGATCGAATTACGACAGTAGGAAGTGGCGTAATATCCCCTGTTTGGAGTGTTATGACATCACGTCTATACTCATAATTCCATTAGGCAAACTCATCGCCGAGCTCGAGGTTGTGTAGAGAATGTTACTTTTGCTGAGATCTAACGCGAATCTTGCAGTCCTTAAGGAGGTTGATAGTTTGTTCTAAAAAAAAGTTGAACTAATTAAAACCTTCAGAAGTTTGGACCATGGAGCACGATTTTGCTGCTGTGAGAGAGCGATTCAAACTGTGCGGGCAAACAGCCCGGTGATAGATGGCCGGGGCATTTCACCCGTGAACGAACCACAGTGCTGATCAAGACTGCGGGCAAACAGTCCGGTGGTAGATGGCCGGGGCATTTCACCCGTGGACGAACCACAGTGCTGCTCTAAACTGCGGGCAAACAGTCCGGTGGTAGATGGCCGGGGCATTTCACCCGTGGACGAACCACAGTGCTGATCTAAACTGCGGGCAAACAGTCCGGTGATAGATGGCTGGGGCATTTCACCCGTGAACGAACCACAGTGCTGATCCAAACTGCGGGCAGACAGTCCGGCGATAGATGGCTGGGGCATTTCACCCGTGAACGAACCACAGTGCTGATCCAAACTGCGGGCAAACAGTCCGGTGATAGATGGCTGGGGCATTTCATCCGTGGACGAACCACAGTGCTGATTTGTCGCCCAAGAAACTTAGGCATCTCATGAAGGCATCTAAGCATCTTCAAAAGACGGGGAGCACTGCAGTCGACATCCTTTAAATTGATTGCCAACCTAATATAACTACCTAACTTATTTTTGGTCCCGGTACGAACAGACAGGTGTGTACACCTGCATCATTCTAGTGGACACGCTGGAGCTGGCAGGACCTGACCCTCAGGCACATACAGAGGTTTATCTCATCACAATATTGTGGGTACTTCATCACGTAATTGCCCAGCACTTGCACTACCCGACGTACGGCCGAGTCTCGGCCTGGAGCGTCCGACGAACGGCCATACTGTCCGACGAACGGCCATACTGTCCGACGAACGGCCATGCTGTCCGACGAACGGCCATGCTGTCCGACGAACGGCCATGCTGTCCGACGAACGGCCATGCTGTCCGACGAACGGCCACGTGACGTCTTGTTGCGGACATTTATGTTTAACGTATGCTGCAGAAATCCGTGCCATTGCATAATACCACAATATTGCAAGTCTCTTCAAGCTTTCTACCCAACATATATACCTAAAATAGCCGTGCATTTAAGCTTGGCACAGTAAGGAAGTCACACATATTACAAAAAAAGCATTCAGATGATGTCATATATCCCCTGCAATATAGAGGCTCGCCGTTTTGAAAATGTTTAAAATCTGTATTACTTCATCTTCCTGCTTGTCCTCTCGTCATGGAAACTTTCAACCTCGCCCACTGCTTACCCAAATAAATCCGAGCGTAGCTGTACGTTACTGCATTATATTTTCAACACCACAGTCAGATCCGCTAACAATTTCACTATGATGAGAGCTGCGCCAGGCAATCGGCAACCGAGCATAGAATATTTCTTACACGGAGACATACTTGTATCATTCGTGAATCAGAATATCGTCCCATTCATAATGCGAATGGGACATCATTTCTTACGCTGATGAGATACTATTCATACGATGAAACGGGCCTCAGCACGGACGAAAGGGCCCCAGCGCCTGGCATTGGATGGCAAGACTGCCAAATGACGACTAAATTATTGTAAAGCAGCGCAGTAGCTCGCGCTTAAGCCAACCTACCTCGTTAGACGTGAGCAGACTTGAAGTTCGACAGCAATCGACAGAAGGCAGACATCTCTATCCCCCCCTCCTCCCTCCCCCCCCCCCCCCCCGGCATCCCGGGCAACACCCTGGAGCGACGACCCAACCTCGAATGTCACGGCGCTGCATTTCGCCGCAGCAGCGCCAACCTTTGTGGAAGAGCACGAGCCTGACGTCCGAGCGGCAGACGCGCGACGACTCGGCAACATGAGACGCCGACATGCACGGAACTCGCCAATCGGTTACCATGGTTACACTGCATCCCGTGCAGTCGCGTAGCTAAGACGCCAGGATCTGCTCCATCCCGCCAATATAAAAATTGAAGGTTTTGTGAGGATGGCACTAGGGTCGTACTCGCATAACTAGCTGCGGAGGTCATGATCCCACCACCGTAACAAGGTAACCCCAGTTCGACCTTTGCTTCTTCTTCTCATGACTGGGGTAAAACGACGCGTAAGAATATTTTTCGCGCCGTTACAGCGCCATCACAGGCCTCCCGTTCTCATCCCATGCCATGCATGGTCCTGACACGGCTCCTGAACCCCTCACGCCAGTGGTCTCTGTGGTGATAACTAGCAGCACACAAAGCGCGTCGTCTTTTTTCTCAAGTTAACGTACGGAAATAACGAACTGTGATACGTTAGGTTCCGAAATTCAGAGTGTAGATTTTTTCAAACCATCTTCGCCCAAATAGCCGCATTGTCATGCGGGGTCTCACGTAGCTCCGGGCGTTTTTTTGTCGTCGACATTCCACATTTACCCAAAATATGCATTTTCTTTTTGTCATCGACATTCTACATTCCACATGCCAGCTGGTTCACTTAATCTTAGCACTATCCTCACCTTAAAAAAACAAACAATGCAACTTAGCACACAAATTTCGGTTCCTATGGAGGACAAAAATGACAGCGTTAAACGACAGCGACAGCATTAATAATCCATGCCAACTAGCAAATAAATATTAACCGAAAACTACGGTCCAGAAATGCTTCAAAATACGCCACCGGCATCGCAAAAACATGGGATAACAAAGGGTTGAGATGTATTGCACATCTTACAAACAACGCAACAGTGACGCAACACCCTAAGGGAGGGGTGGAAATTGTGAATGGATTTCGTATGACGTGTATTTTTTTGCCACGCGTCTCTCATAAGAA